AAACAAATATGCGGACATATCAAACTGGTGGCCCCAGAACCAAATTTTGCTCATAGCGTTGATTTTTTTATCATCAGTTTTTATTTTTTGAGTTAGTAGCCAATATTTTTTAAAAATTGGAGAAATTTACCACAAAACTCTCTTTCCAGTTTCTGTTGAAAAATCATACAATCTGGCACCACCAAGTCTGCATTCCCACATGCCAACTGGATGGAGCTGAGTTGTGCCGGCTTTAGACAGGGTGTAAACTTTCCATTTTGCTACTGCCCCCTCCCCCCAGCTAAAAACCCTGAAGGCATTTAGTTTGCAACTACTACCCTACAAGGCAATAGAGAAAGGTCAACAATCTGTAACACCCCTGGGTTATTAAGGGTAGGGATGATAATAAAAATATTGAACTGGTAGGAACAGGGAACCAACTGAAGCTCAACACTGGATCAGGGTCTTGGAAGCCTCCTGCAGTGTCAAACACCAACTCTTTAGTTGCTAGATTTTGGAGGAAGGGGTGTGTCCCCAGAGCCAGAGCAGGTAGGCACAAGTGCTTAAGGCAAGGCTGTTAGCCAACCAGCACAGAAGTTTAAAAGTACTGTATTTTAACCACTCATACAGCTATGAAGTGCATACTAGTTTATTTATTTTATTTTATTTATTTATTTATTATTATTTTTTAAATAATAAACTACAAATTTTTTACATTTATTTTTTTGGTCCTATGGATTGGTTCAGGTCTGAAGTGCATACTAGCTGAATATGAGCCTGGGTTAAGGGGGTAGGGGAGCAACAGAGTGGAGTCCTGAAGTGACATAAGGGCTGACACCTTGTCCATGTCATAGTGCCCCATGAGTCACAATGACACCAGTTGGCCTAAAGCTCTGCTGCTCGTCTCTGAACCTCACTTTGCCGCAGGGAGGCACTGAACTGAAAAACTGCCTTGTAACAGGTGGCGCCCCTCTGTCTACTCCCTCTCTTATATCAAGAGGGGAAAAACACGGAACTACTGCTACCCGTTCTGGTCACCATACGCCTACTATCTTTACTGTTACAAATACCGGATCACCCTCCGGGAAAGGATGCTGCCTTGTTGTTACAAAAGGTACTTGTTTTCATTTCTATTTGTAGTTGTTTGGATAAACTGTAAGAAAAAAGAAAAGATTATAAGCTTTGGTTATGGGTTAATAAAAAATGAAAAAAAGAAAAAGAAAAGAATTTGAAAGGAATTCCCAAGTGGCAAGAATAGGGTGGATGGCTGGCATGGGACTTTAGAAAAATTTTTTCTTCTGCCTGGCCTGGGAACATGGAAATAGGCTGGTCCACAGAAAATACAGATAGTGCCAGAGCCTGGTCCTATATACCTGGAAGTTATGAATCTCTCCCCACCACAGATTCTGAGATAAACTAATTTGGGTCTCTTTCCCAACCAGCATCACCTATAAGGAAGAGGAGGACTTGACCCTCCGGCCCCGTTACTGCCTCCAGTGCTCCTGAGTCGCCAGCCGGCCTCCAGGTGGGCAGAAGCACCGATCAGGGTAACAACCACCAGCTTAAACAACTGTATTCGGTAAGTGGGCTGTGATAGGGCAGCCCTTTCTTGCTGTAGTGATACCTTGTAGAGAGGGACATTAGCTAGTTGGAAAATGAATCACAGAAAGCTAGAGGTAGATGGGAACTTGGAGCTCATGTGTAAAAGCTACTTTTTTATACACAAGGATTCTGGCCAGAGATGGTAAATTCAGGTCATACATCTGATAGTGAAAAGCAGGATGGGAAAAGAAGTGAGGACAAAAGTTGAGCAGTGTTAGGACCTTTGGGACATAAAGTTTTGATGCTAGGCTGGGTCTAAAATCCAGAACTCTTGCACATGCCCTTGTATTATACTGCAATAACATGCTTGGTTTGACTTTTGCATTTTAAGTGAGAAATGGAAGAATTAAGAGAAAACCATTATGATGAAGAAAGTGGAAGAGTATTATTAGCGAGACAATAGAGCTTTGTTTAAACAACAAGCTCTCTAAACATCTTAAGTTTCTAAATGGTTATTGTACTCCTGTGGCGAGGTCAGCAGGCAGTAATACTACCTCAACTCCAGAGTCCAGATTGTTTGAATCAAGGAGAACTCCATAATAGGGATAGGCTATTAGTTCCTAGGACAAAGGGATATTGTTGCATCTCTAAGACCTTGGCTCCGATTCTCCCCAGGGCCCGCCCCCCATCAATCCCTGCTTGCTTCCAGACACAAATCTGCCTGAAATCTGATTTGAGAACTAGATGATCACATAGGAGACTATTGCTCTCATTTTTACTCCTTTTCCAGGCTGGAAACCTGACGGTGCTGGCTACTGACCCCCTGCTCCACCAGAACCCAATACAGTTAGACTTCCACTTCCGCCTCACCCCCCAGACCTCTGCCCATTGGCACGGCCTTCTCTGTGACCACCGACTCTTCCTGGATATTCCATATCGGGCCTTGGATCAAGGCAACCGGGAAAGGTGACTGAACCTGGATGGGAGTGTGGGGAGGGAAGAGGTAGGACATTTCACCCTTTTATTGTGTCATAATCAGTAACTAGGGCTGATTCAGGTACTGGATACATGCAACCATTCAACTGGCATACAGACAAGCCTATGAACTGAGCCAGGATCTGGGGCTCAAGGAACAATTCTATGGGAAGTTGCTGGACTCAAACACAGAAGTGGGGATCCAGAAATAGTTGAATGATAGGAAGTACTTTCTAGTTGTTCATCTAAATAGAGCAGTTCCTTCTCCCTAGACCCATTCTGTGGTTTATTTCTTAGTCCAATAGTGTGCAATCTCTTGGCTTCAGAGAAAAATCTACCAAACTATTTTAGCAACTTTCATTTCCTGGCTTAAGTGCATCCAGGAGGGCAAAAAAGATTTCTTCTGTTCCAAATGGGTGTCTTTCTGGATTGAGTTGGCTGAACATTTCATTAACTGTTTTTCTCTCTGGCCCCTAGTTTGACTGCAACACTGGAGTACGTGGAGGAGAAGACCAATGTGGACTCCGTGTTTGTGAACTTCCAAAATGATCGGAATGACAGAGGTGGGGACTGGCTATCCTCCCTTGTCCTTCATGCTGAGGCAGCTGGACAGTTCCTTTTCCTTTGTAGGAGAGCCTCTTCCCCCCCTCTTCTTGCCTCCCATCACAAAGGAAATTAAGTTACTATACTATCAGGAAGCCCCTTGCATGAGGTGTTAGAGGCCAGACTGAAGGAGCAGTGGTGAAATTACACAGAATCCATTCAAGGGATGTGGTCAGCAGGACAAAAGGGAGCTCAAATGTACTGAGCACCTACAGTGTGAAATGGTTGGGCAAAGCCAAAGCAAGAATATATTTAACCAGATGCCTGGAGCATATGTTATAGAAACTATAACCTCTTCCCTTAAGGAGTTTATACTCTGTTGGATATAAAACAAAGGATAGTCAATAACCATTCATAGATACCATTTAAGAGTTTACTATGCTATTGTGTTAAGCACTTCATAAACATCCCATTTAATCTTAAATTCTGTGAGGAAGGGTCTATGGATTTTCATTTTACAAAGGAGAAAACTGAAGGGTTAACTCATAGAACATCGTAAGTTAAAAGCCAGGGTGAAAGTCTAGGGCTGTTTGACTCTAAAGCACATCTTTATGCCTGTACTTTACTGCTTCCCAGGGCCACTCTCTAGGAGGAGAAATCAAATCTCTGGGGTAATACATGTAGTGTTTCAAGAGAATTCTAATCATTTGTTCTATCCTTTTACAGGTGCCCTGCTGAGGGCCTTCAGCTACATGGGCTTTGAGGTGGTCAGACCAGATCACCCTGCCCTCCCTCCCTGGAACAATGCCATCTTTATGATGTACCCCCTTGAAAGGGACCCTGGCCATCTGCCCAGCGAACCTCCCTAAAACATGCTTATTCCAACTCTGAGGGGCTGGAAGCCTTGACACACGGGAACCAGGGGCCCAGGATGTGATTCAGGACACCTCTGTCCATCCTAGGAATAAAGGGAAGTGCAATCATCAAGTGTTCACTCTTTCTTGGGGGGATAGTATGGTTGGCTGGAGTGGAACATGAAACTTACAGAGGGACTTGAACCAGAGACAAAAGGGACCCAAGGATTTGCCTTCCTCTCCGCCCTCAAATCATTTCCCCAACTTACTCTAACCACCTGGTCAAGGGAAAGAGAATTCAGAAAGACTAGGCCTTGTTAGATGTTTTCATCCATATATTTCAGTTGAAACTGGAGACATTTAGTCTGGACAAAACCAGAGAAGGTACATGGATTCCTTGGCTTTGGCTCAAGGGGAAGATCAACAGATGGAAGAGGTAGCATAGAAGATGGCATTCCAGACAGCACGAAAAGTATTGGGTGGCATTAGAATGAGAAAGAACCCATCAGAATGAGATGCAAACTGACAAGACTTACGTAGGGCACACTAAAGTAGATGTTTATATGCAGTAACAAGTTATGGAGAGAAGTGAGACACTACTTAGTTTTCAGAGTAGGAAGTCCTGTGAGTGGTATCAAGTGACCTCTATCCTCAAGAATAAAGATCCCCTGAGGAACTAAGGAAATGAGGATTAAATGGCCTCACCACCCTGTTGTACAATGACCCCAATCAGGGCTGAGCATGCCTCAGTGAGACTGCAGCCAGTGTGTGAAATGTCAAAAAAAAAAAGCCCCTCAAGGATTCCTCCAAGACTACACGAACTGCTCACTGGAGCTGCTCCTTCATTAAAGTTTTCTACTAATTAGTACTGAGATTTTTCTGAGAAAATTTCGAAAATTGTGGTTGTGGGAACATATAGTTGCCATGTAATATATAGACCTCACTAATCCCTAGACTTTAAAAAACTGTCACATAACGCTGCCTTCTACAGGTTTAAGATATTTGATTCATCTTACCTGGTTCATTTCATTTGCCATTTTTCTACCACCCACATTAATGTTTACACATTTACTTTCAAGTACCTTCAAAGTTCTCACCTAGCCTCCCAATACTGTCAAAAATGGAAAGATGCTATAAAGAAACAGGCTACCTAAAGTCTTAAAATAAGTTGGCAGTAGGGATCTATACCTGGATTTCAGGTTTCTAGAATTCTAATACCAGGCCTTTTCTTCCAAATAGTTTAGGTGGGGTCTTATTCACACAGCAATGGGTGCTGGTTCTTAGTGAATGGTTATATCTGAAGTAACTTTAGGGAAAGGATATGAATGTGTACGTGAGTGAACACTTGTTTCACTGATAGGCTACTTTACCTGAGGAGGTTGGCAGGTTGGAGGTTACTAGATTTATGCTCAGAAAATACTTTCCCACAGCCTGTTTACACCTTGTGATTCAATAAGCATTTGGTTTTAGATTTTCTTGAGAACTTTATTCAGCAAAGAATCCCCCCAAAATGATTTAAACAGAACTATATATGTTCTCTTTGGGTACATGTGTATCTATACATATGAATATTATGTTAAGCAATTTAGAATATTTCCTGAGCTTCCTCTCCCCTTTTAAACTAAAGTTTACAGAGAAATAGCTGGAGCAGTTTCAAAAACCTGTCTCCAATAACACCAACAATTGAGGGTAGGAGGTAGTATTCTCTTCTTACTTCAAGGCTTTTTAATATAATTATGCTGATTTTTGCCTTTGCCTCCTGACTCAACTGCAGTCTGAGCCCCCAGGCTTTGAGCTTACCACTCAAAAACTTCCTCTAACCATAGTCACCTGAGAAGGGGAGTCAGAAGTTTACAGAATCATCACTTCCAATGACTAAACTCTGGCTGTTTCCCAGCCTCAAAAAACACAGCCTAGCAGCACTGTGCATTCTGATTGGCAGAGGCGACCAAGCCCGGAGCTGAACAGTCTGGAACAGCAGTACTCAAATGCTGGAGGCAGGGGGGAGAAATTGGAGTTGGAGTAGGGGGAATGTGTCCGTTTTCCTCTGCCCCACACTTTTTGGTAGTCCAATGGAAGGAGAAAACGAATTTGGTCCACAGTAAGCCAGACTGTGTAACGTAATAAAGGACTTCATGGATGTCTCTTTATCACAGACTTCTCTCTCCAGCCACCAAATCCTGCCAAAGACACAAACACACAAAAAGCTTGAAAGGGCTCAATCTGACAGCAAGTTAAGCTATAGGAAAGCAGCTACAGAGAAGTATATTAAGACAGGGCACAGGGAAGAAGGAATCAAGCAAGGCCCTGTTGTCATCCTCATTACTTTCCTGTTGCTACAGATAGATGATGGCTCCACTCACACAGCAAAGCAGATGGCTGAGCCAGCTGAAGTCCCAACTTCAGAGCAAGTAGTCGTCTTCAAGGTTATCATCACCAGACATAGAGGCAGCTTCTATAGAGTAGTGAGGAGAAAGTTAGACACCACCCTGTTCTAGCAAGGCACTGCTAGTGAGGCTCAGGAGAAAAATGGGCCTCTTGGTGCTCAATGATGTGACTGAGAACCAAGCCTTAATTTCCCTGGTTTAGAAAAATGAATTGAGAGGCCAGGCGTGGTGGCTCATGCCTGTAATCCTAGCACTCTGGGAGGCCGAAGTGGGTGGATCATTAGAGTTCAGGAGTTCAAGACCAGCCTGAGCAAGAACGAGACCCCATCTCTACTAAAAAAATAGAAATTAGCTGGACAACTAGAAATATATAGAAAAAATTAGCTGGGTGCATAGTCCCAGCTACTTGGGAGGCTGAGGGAGGAGGATCCCTTGAGCCCAGGAGTTTGAGGTTGCTGTGAGCTAGGCTGACGCCAGGGCACTCTAGCCCGGGCAACAGAGTGAGACTCTATTTCAAAAAAAAAGAAAAACATTTCTGGGAGGCCGAGGCAGGCGGATCGTTTGAGTTCAGGAGTTTGAAACCAGCCTGAGCAAGAGTGAGACCCTGTCTCTACTATAAATAGAAAGAAATTGGCCAACTAATATATACAGAAAAATTTAGCCAGGCATGGTGGCGCATGCCTGTAGTCCCAGCTACTCGGAAGGTTGAGGCAGCAGGATCACTTGAGCCCAGGAGTTTCAGGTTGCTGTGAGCTAGGCTGATGCCACGGCACTCACTCTAGCCTGGGCAACAAAGTGAGACTCTGACTCAAAAAAAAAAAAAAAAAGAAAAACAAATTGAGAAAAGGTAAAGATAACCTCCAAAGATGCTCTAGGTAGGAAATTCTGTTTGTACCTGATAAGCTGAGGCAGGACAGGGTATGTGGTATCTCTCCAGGGCTCTTTTTGGTCTCAGTGAGCATGGTGCTGAGAGAAGCATCTGTTTCTGTGGCCTAAGGGGAAGAAAACAGGAGATAGAGAAAGAACATGCTGGCTGATGGGAAAGGAGACGCCATCCTGTCATTTTGCTCAGGGCATGTGGTTAAGGTAGTTGAGTTTGGCTGCTAAGGGGGATACAATGCCTCCTTGGATCAACTGGAGCAGTTCACAGTCCTTAGGAAAGCTAACAAGATATCATGACTAGAAGCCCTCATGGTCTCTCCAGGCACTATATTTACTACATTTTGCCTCGAAAAAGCACCCTAAATGACAGTGATGGCTCACTCACCACATCCTTCAACATGTCTGGGACAGCTCCGTTTTCTTCCACGTCTTCAGGAAGCTCAATTGCGTATCCTTTACGAACTAATTCTAGCCCAATATCAAGTTTCTGAAAAGAAAAATGAAGAGGGAATGATGTTCTCTCTGTAAGGGTTGGCAAATCTGAGGAAACAAGGCAGAAGAGCTAGGATTGACACTTCAAAAATATTCCTTCAGTGGGATGGTGAGCAGGATCTTATAAAGTTGGAGTAGTTTCAGATAAGGGTTTCTGGGAAATAACAGCGGCTATAAATATACTGAAGATATAGTGAGCAAGGAGTCACTCCAATCTTACCTTCCCATTGCTAGTATCATATAAGTAGATCTTTGGCCAAGTTGAGATCCCAGTCTGGACATAGCTAGAGATCTTGGCCACAAGGGGCTTCCAGTCAGCACAGTGAGTGAGTCTTTCAAATTCATCCAAAGCTTCCTCTTCCCACTGTTCACCTGGCAAAGATTGTGTAAGGGTAACTCAAAAGGGGTCAGTGCTGACAGGGGTAGGGATTATACCCTGAGGGAAGTGGGAACTACCCCTTCTCTATTCAGGAAAGCACCTATGTGTTCTCTGGTGGGGCTGGGTCCAATGGTGGTACAAGTTTCTGGCTGCTGCTCTCTAGCGATAGTGAGGAAAAGTCCCCAGAATTCAAAAAGTCTGGGAATGTGAGAATTCCTCCTATGTGTGGTATGAAAGTTATTCTATTCAGAGGCAAAGTCAATAGGTGGTGTGGCCAACTTACCTGAGGGGGCGATCCGGGCCAGACTACACTCTATTGCTTGAAATGGAAGGCTTAGGAAGTCACTCCTAAAATGAAAGAAACTGAAATTAGAACCCTAGGGCCAGAGGTACCTTCTTATACTGCTTACTTTTAGGCAGAACCAACTAACCCAGCTCTCTGTAAACAGGTTCTCTTCCAAATCCCCTGGTGAGGAATGCCAACAGCTCACCACTCTACGGCCAGGACTGAGTCAATAGTTGGGATTCCAGCTGACTCCACCCTGGCCTCTGCACTCACCTGAGAGCCCTAAGGTCCTTCAGTGGGCAATCTCCATTATCTCCAAAGTCAACAAAATAGAGGTCAAAGTTCCCATTTTCCAAGGTGCCCAGGACCTGGGCTCGATACCAGGAACCATTTGTAAGTAAAGGTGCTGCTACGATATCTCCTATATGCACAGTCAAGTCTTCAGGCTATAGGTGAGGGATGTCAGGAGAGGACAGAGTTACAAAGTGGTAGGCTGGTAAACAGTGAATAGCAGGAGGAAGAAAGAATAGTTGCATCAAGGAAAAGACGATATTACAATGAAAAAGATATGTCCCTTTTTCATCAAACCCCAGCCCTATCCTTATGGCAACTCACCAGACTATTTTCATAGTGTTGGGTCATTTCATTGACAAGCTTATCCAATTGCAGGCTGCGGGAACCAATGATCTGGATCCAGAAGTGGTTAGGGTGTTCAGAAGCAGAGACATAGACTTCTAGGTACTCATCAGCATGGAAACTAAAGTCAGGACTAGGAACTGAACACAGGGATAAGGATGGTGGCTATATCAGAACAATTTCTGGTTGGACTGAGGACACTGCATCAGAAGAGTGAGGGGTACAAATACCAAATAGATGTTACCATTTTAAAAATGGCTGAAGGGACAACCGGATGAATCATACCAGAACATCCTAAAGAAAAATACTAAGCTATCTTCTGTACCTTTCCATGTAACTCAGTACTAACAGTTTACATTCTTAGTCATGTGTCATGTATTACAATCAGTCACCAATTATAATGAAGGTAAACCCTCCATATACTAGCTGCAGCATGGATTAGTAAAAAGCAACCTAGCTGTCACATGGACAGCAGCAGATATGGGGCTATTCCAGATCTCATTCTACCATTGACTCATCATGTGACCCTGGACAAGCCTGTGAGCCTCTTGGGGCCCTGGTCCTCTCTGCCCATGCTAGTACCTATGTATAGGAGAGAAGGCTTGAATAGTGATGATTTTCAAAAACAGTAATTAGAAGCAAAAAATAAAAATAAAAAATTTGAGAATTTTACTTGTTTATAAAGTAGGTCTGGAGAAAGAATATCATGTAAATTCCATTATTTGATGGAATTTACTTTTTACAGACTAGTTCCTGTGTCAGTGTATTTCTTTGATTTTCCTTTATCAGCTGGTTTATATTCAGGAAAATATTATTTTAGCATTAATCCAAGTAACATATTACCAGATAGACTTATAGATGTAGTTATGAAAACAGAAATTATTTTTTTATTGCTTATTTTGGGTTATCTAAACCAGTATTTCTATATGCCATATTGTTAACAGCTTTGTTACATACTTTCAAACATAGACATCTCTGGAATGGCCTGGGCTCCAGACTTTTGAATGCTGTCATCATTAGGTTTCTCCCAGGAACCTTCTTTTGGCTCTACAACAGCCATGTCACCACCTCCTTTGTGGGGAGTAACTGCCTGGGGTGTGGCCTGCTCTGCACTAGAACTGGTGTTTTTCCATAAAGCTGGGTCTCCAGCTCCATCTGGCTCTGTCACTTCCTCTCTTCTCACACTGATTGGCTGCTTGCGTGGGACTCTGGTTTCTGCAGAATGTGCAATTCTCTTCCGAAGTTCTTCATCTTCTGAAACTTTTTCCAGTATCAAATGCTGTGGAAAATAAGAGAAAGGATGATATTCTGACCCTGGATGGAATAAAGGGCTCTTCTCATTCCTAGGTATGATTCAAGTCTATCAGCTACTTGCCTTGGCTGCTGCCACTTCCTTCTGTGTTCCTGAGATTTTTATAAGTCTTGATAGTAGTAACGTCCCCTCTGATTCCTTGTCACAGGTAATTTTGGCTCCAGAGGCCTTACAGATAGAACGAATTGTCTCACCGCCTCTCCCTACATTGAACAATACATAAAAACCCGTCCTTTCTTCCTGGTCAACCTTAACTATGAAAAAAATCACTATTTTGTGTATATTGGGAGAAGGGAGTCCAGTTCTTATTTCCAAACTGAACAAAACGTAAAATGCTGAACAGAAAGCAGGAAGCTACTGAAATCATCACTGTAGGAAGAATATTGGATTCTTTATGTTATCCATTTTAAACTCTACACTTAGGCTAGCTTAACTTCATGTCATTTTCATATTTTTGATCACTCAGCAAGGCCACACTTTACATTCCCAGCTTATAAAAAGGTATGCTACAGGGTGTGTCAGAACACTGGACCAGGCTGGGCATGGTGCTTTATGCCTGTAATCCTAGCACTATGGGAGGCCAAGGCGGGCGGATTGTTTGAGCTCAGAAGTTCGAGACCAGCCTGAGAAAGAGTAAGACCCCATCTCTACCAAAAATAAAAAAAAAAATAGCCAGGCATGGTGGTGCATGCCTGTAGTCCCAGCTACTTGGGAGGCTAAGGCAGAAGGATCGCTTGAGCTCAGGAGTTTGAGGTTGCTGTGAGCTAGGCTGATGCCATGGCATTCTAGCTGGGGCAACAGAGTGAGACTCTGTCTCAAAAAGAACACTGGACCAAGGACAGGACATTTCTCTGCCTCTAACAGCAGCACTAAGGAATGACCTAGGGGAAAGTATAATAGGTACTCTCTAGAGCACTATGTTGAAAGATTTTGGATAACATGAGCATCCCTAGCTTCCCTTTAAAAACTATAAGATAAATACATAAAACAGAGAATCCAGAACCCTTCTGGAACCTATTTGTTAAGTTCAGATCATATGACTTCTTAAGGTAATGGATTTTGTTTTACCACCAATTCTGTAAAAATAAGTAAGTAAGTAAGTAAAGCTCTTGTCTCAATGTCCCTGTCTATTTTTTTCCTCAGTAAGGTAAAAGGGGAATAGGCCAGGAAAAAAACCCTTGGGAAGTTATGAAAGAAAGGCAAAGGTAAAGAATACAGTAAACAGCAGAGGAAGCCATCCAGTGGTACCTATGATTCTGCCCACAGATCTCTGGGGAACTGAGAGTTGCTCAGACACTGGGGTGTTCTCTGTCAGGATCTGATGAATTGCTGCTTTGGCCTTGCACACCTGAACAGGAAAACCACTGATAAGCAGTACTCGCTCATCGCCTACATCCTCTGTGTCCACATCAATCCGAGCACCTGTCTGTTTCCGCAGCTGCAGAGAAAAGGACATGTAGCAGTACGTTCTGGAAGACCTCCTATTTGGGCCCAGCTAAGGACACTCTGAAGCAAACTGTGGAGGTACAAAGAGTTGGCCGAAGACATTAGCTAAATCAGGTTGCTATAATCAGTCCTCAATTACTTGTACTTAGGGAAGGAGATTAATAACAAAGGTAACCCCAAATAGCAGCTAATTCAAAACCGTTTGTGTTTAGAATGCTTTTCTCTCCTAATTTTATTTAGACTGAAGAACAAAATATTTTGTTTTCTTGACATTTCAACCATGGAAGATATAGAAAAAAATTAAAAAATAAAAAATAAAAAAAACCAATGCTTTCATGATTTACACAAGAAATAAAATAGAAAAAAAAATTTAAAAAAAGGAAGATGGTAAGAACAGGCAGCAATATTTACTGTCAGTTAGTGAATTCATTAATTCCATAGTAGAAAAGAATAGTTCAAGCAATTCTATACTGACAATCATCCAATCAAAAACACCTATTTCAGGCTAAGTCATCTATTCTGTAGGGGGTACTCCTCTGTATAAAGAAAATAGCATAGTTACCTCAAAAAGTTCCTGTACTTGTTCTTTTTAAAATATACATAGCATGGCTGTGTTTTGTGATATGGGGTCAGATTAAGAGGAAGGAAACAAAAGATCAATAAATAGACTCAATCCCTGGGAAAGCCGATTGCCTGCTCACACACTCACCTGTTTAATATTGGCTCCTTGCCGGCCAATGATGAGCTTCACAGCCTCCTGGGGAACTCGCATCTCTATCTCGATGTCATCCTCCCCAACAAACGTCAGCCGCTCTTCTGCACAGATCATGGCTCATCAGATCAGACTCAGATAACACCAAATAACCTACTACCAGCCTTCCCCTAGATCTGGCTGTCAAAGAGACACTGATCCGAAATATAAACTGAGGATCTCAACCAGGATAACAGGGAGAAACAGCATGTGGGTGGGAATTAGAAGGTTCCTAAAACACTAAAGATAGGAATTTTCTCTGGGACACTGTTTCAGATGCTAAAGCGGGAAAAGCAGACTCTGCAAAGAGGAGGTGCTGGAAAAGAATGAAAGCCAAAAGTTGCCCAGGGCATTCACTGGGCTCAGAACCTCTCCTGACTGATGTGTACATAAGTCATCTTTCTAGGTCCTATACTGTAAGTCCAGCCTTTGAGGAAACTGACTTCTCCTAACAATTAGAAGGAATATATATATATAAAAATAAGAGTATAGAAATAAAAAAAAAACACCCATTGCTGCATTAATGTTGCTGAAGGAGCAGATGAATAGAATTATAAAATGAGTTCATTTCATAGACTAGCTTCGTAGTAAGAAGATAGGAAAGAAGAAACCAATAGTTTCGGTTAAAGATTCCTCACAGAAAGCCAGCTGCACCCCAACAATACCTGGTCTGGTAAGGAAAGAGTTTTCATCTCAATTTAACCAGGCAGGAACATAGTTTGAACATTTTCACACCCACAGCCATACCTCTGCTTTCCCTATACCTTCGGTATAGGATATAGGCAACTGTTGCACTGGCTGGGATCCCGAGGCCCAGGGCTATTTTCTGAATAGTGGACAGGCTTGTCCAAGAAGTCCGTTCAGTGGACATTTTCTGCTGTATGTCGACTTACATTCTGAAACAAGCAATCAGGGAAAAGAAAGCTTTCATCCAACACTTGCATGACTTGCAGAGAAGCATGGGAACACGTTAATATATTATTGAAAAGAATACTACCTACCCCACCCCCCCATTTCAAGAGCTCCAGTAATTCCAAAATCTATTTCATGTAAAAGGCCTCAGGGTATTTTTTTAAAGTTAGCAGCTAAGGTACACATATAATATATGACTAAATAAAAGCATACTTCATTTTTCCCCAAGGAGAACTATACAGTTATCAGTTTTACATGACAAAAGAATAAAAATATTAAACAGTAAATATAGAATATATACTTAGGCTGGGCAAGGTGGCTCACGCCTGTAATCTAGCACTCTGGAGGCTGAGGCGGCGGATTGCTCGAGGTCAGGAGTTCAAACTAGCCTGAGCTAAGAGCGTGACCTGGTCTCTACTAAATGAAAGAATTAATTGGCCAACAATTATATTAGAAAACATTTAGAGGCTGGTGGTGCATGCCTGTAGTCCCAGCTACTCGGAGCTGAGGCAGTAGGATCCTTGAGCCAGGAGTTTGAGGTTGCTGTGAGCTAGGCTGATGCCACGGCACTCACTCTAGCCTGGCAACAAAGTGAGACTCTGTCTCCAAAAAATAAATAAATAAAAAGAATATATATACTTAGATTTAATATCAAATGATTTACAATTCCTTATCTAGGGTGGGTTCAGTGGCTCATGCCTGTAATCCTAGCACTCTGGGAGGCCGAGATGTGAGGATTGCTTGAGCTCAGGAGTTCAAAACCAGCCTGAGCAAGAGTGAGACCACATTTCTACTATAAATAAAGAAATTAGCCAAACAACTAAAAATAGAAAAAATTAGCCGGGCATGGTGGCACATGCCTGTAGTCCCAGTTACTCGGGAGGTTGAAGGCAGTCGCTTGAGCCAGGAGTTTGAGGTTGCTGTGAGCTAGGCTAATGCCATGGCACTCTAGCCCGGGCCACCATGCCTGGCTAATTTTCTATATATATTAGTTGCCAATTAATTCTTTCTATTTATAGTAGAGATGGGTCTCGCTCTTGTCAGGCTGGTTTCGAACTCCTGACCTCGAGCAATCCGCCTGCCTCAGCCTCCCAGAGTGCTAGGATTACAGGCGTGAACCACCGTGCCGGGCTCTATGCCCTCTTTCTCTTGGTTCTTCCTATTTCCCTGGAGGGTGCTTTTGAATTTTGGGCTTGTGTTCCTGTGCCCTCTAATCCATTATTGCCACTCTGCTCTCTTTGGGCAATTTCATCCACACCTGCAGCTTCAATTACTACCTATGTCAATGACTCCAACACCATAGCATCCAGCCTGATTCAAAAGCTCATCAAGTCTCATTTAGTCCACTGCAATGGCCTTACCAACTTTCTTGCTATTAGTCTCTTTAGCGCTGTATCTTCATTTCGCTGCCCAGCAAATCTTAACATGTTCCTCACTATATTTCCTTATTCCACATAGTTTCTCATCCTCCCAATTATTTCTGACCTTCTCTTCTCACACCTCTAGTGCTTTCTCCAACCTCTCTCAACTGATGTCCTTGCATCCTATTTCACTAAGAAAGTAGAGCATTAGCAGAAAATTTCCATTAGCTTCCATACATTGACCCACCTACCTTCATGTGTGCCTAAATACTTGCTTCTCTCTTCTGTGACCATGGATGAACTGTCTCTGCTCCTAGCACTGAAAGTGTTGTTCCACCAGTTCTCTTTCCTTTCCATGTGTTAATGTTTTCCTCTCTACTGGATTTTTCCTTAAGCAAAGACCCTGCCTTCTTAAAGAAAAACCTTTCTCTATTCCACTTACTCCTTTGGCTATTTCCCATTTCTTTCTTTCCTTTTACAGGAAAACTCAAGAGAGTCTCAATATTTCTGTCCTGAATTTTTTTTTCTTGAATTCACTCTGTCTGCTTTCCTCAGGGTCACCAATGACTTTGCATTGCAAACCTGAAGAGCAATTCTCAGTTCTCATCTTACCAGACCTCACCACAGTATCTGGCACAGCTGGTGGTTCCATTTTCTCTGAAACACTTTCTTCCCTTGGCTTCCCCTACAGCACACCCTCTTTGTTTTCCTCCTCCCTCTCTGGCTGTGCCATACGTCTTAGTTACAGGTTCTTTTCACTTTTCTAACCTCTTAAACACTGTAGCACCCCAGGGATCTGTCCTTTGCCTTCTTTTCTGTTCCACTTTACTTCCCTGGTGATTTCAGCAAGTCTCATTCACAGCCTGGCTTACTATTTTTTTTTAGACAGAGTCTTGCTCTGTTGCCCAGGCTATAGTGCCATGGTGTCAGCCTAGCTCACAGCAACCTCAAACTCCTGGGCTGAAGCAATCCTACTGCCTCAGCCTCCCAAGTAGCTGGGACTACAGGCATGTGCCATCATGCCCAGCTAATTTTTCTATTTGGGGGGGTCTTACTCTTGCTCAGTCTGGTCTTGAACTCCTGACCTCAAGTGACCCTCCCACCTCAGCCTCCCAGAGTGCTAGGATTACGGACATGAGCACCACCTTGCCGGGCTCCACAGCCTAGCTTTAAATCTCACCTATACGCTGATAACTTCCAAATTAATAGATCCACTTAGGACCTTTTTCCTCAATTCCAGGTTTGTATATCCAACTGCTTACATGGCATCTCCATGTCTAATAGACATCTCAAACAGGTACAACACTGAGCTCCCGGATCCACCCACTTCCCATCATCTTTGCCATCTCAGTAAATGGCAACTTCATTCTTCTATATAATTCCTTAGTCATCCTCTCTTTCAAACTGTACATCCAGCCTGTCAGCTAATCTTATTCACTCTACTTTCAAATTATCCAGAATCTGACTACTTTTTACCTCTGCATTGCTATAAGCCTGCTCTAAAATACCATTTTCTTTTGCCTAGATTGTTGCAATTGCTTAATTATGTCTCTGCATTTACCATTGTCCAGTTTATTCTCAACACAATAGCTGAAGTCAAATGACATTACTTACCTGCTCAAAACCTTGCAGTAGCTTTCCATATCACTATGATTAAAAGTCAAACTTATAATAATCTACGAGGTCTTCATCTTGATTGTCTCCCCATTAGAATATAAACTCCACAAGGGCAGAAATTTAGTTTCCTTCCCCAGTGCCTAGCATACAGTAGCCACTTGTGACTACTAGTAAAAGGGTATCTGATATTCTTCTGAGTCTGCCAGCAAGAAAAAATAGATACTTTTTCAATAATAATTTGTTGAATGAATGCCTTACTTCTTCAGTGGCTCTCTGTTGCCTCAATGAGAACTCTTTAATGGCTTGAAAGGTTCTTTATAATCTGACTTCTATCATCTTCACAGCCTCATGTTCTTAGCCCACCTCTACCTGGGGAATAGGGTATGTGCTTTCTTATGTATCCTTGCTCTGACACATTTCACTTCTGTCTTCCTACTTAGTCCATCTCATATACCTGGCAAAATTCTGTTTCTTCAAGTCTCATCTTTAATACCACCTCCTTTTCTGAGGCCTCCGAGATTTCCCCTAGCTCATTTAGAGTGAGCTTCTCCTTAGATCACATTGCTCTGTGAATGATACCTCCATGATCACACTTGTTCACAATGTATGTAATTGTTGAGCCTGTTAATTGTTATGCCTGTGTCCTTTAGACTGCTGGGATTGGGTTTAATTATAGACTGTTTTCATTTATGAGGTTTATTCCTCCAAGTCACTAGATAAAAATCTGTTTTTTTCAGACAGGGTCTTGCTCTCTTGCCCAGCCTGGAGTTCAGTGGCCTCATCACAACTCACTGCAACCTCAAACTCCTGGGCTCAAGTGATCCTCTCACCTCAGCCTCCTGGGTAGCTGGGACTACAGGCACAAACCACCACGCCTGGCTAATTTTTCTTTTTTGTAGAGACTGGGTCTCACTATTGCTCAGGCTGGTCTCGAATTCTTGGCCTCAAGCAATCCTCTCACCCTGGCTTCCCAAAGCTCTAGGATTATAAGCGTGAGCCACTCCTCCAGGCCAGCTTCCCTTTTTAGACAGGCTGCAAATAAAACCTTTCACCACTCCGAATGTTTGCGTGGTATCATGTAAACACCTTTGTATATACCAAAGAAAAGGAAACAAGTTTGGTTTCATAAAGATTTTTTGCTTAAATAATTATTGAATACATAACCCCAAACTGCTACTTTCCTACATTAATAGATTATTTATTTTGGGTGTCTAGATTATTTTATCTTTTGGTTACTTCATATATTTTCTCATATGGTCTCTAAAGCACAAAGCTTGTCTTATTAATGTCCCTCAGTTAAACACTGCTAGCTGTTATGTGCTGAGCATGCTGGGGATGGAAGGAGAAACAAGAATTCCTGCTCTGAGACACAGTCTTTTAGGAGAGATAAATATCAAAACTAATTAGATGGCAATGCAAAGAGAATGCGGTTGGCCCTCCTTATTTGCAGATTAAGGAGAAAAAACTCAACAATAAAAAGTAACAATATAATACAAATTTTAAAATGCAGCTATTTACATAGCATTGACATTGTATTATAACTAAACTAGAGATGATTTACAATATATGTGCGTAGGTTATATGCAAATACTATGCCATTTTATACAAGGGACTTAAGCACCCTTGGATTTTGGTATCTGCAGGGGTCCTAGAACCAATCCCCTGGAGATACCAAGAGGAGGGACAACTGTATAAATTCTTGGTCAGTGCAACAGTTGAGTGGAGCCAAAACTTAAAAGGTTTATTTCTTAGATGGTTCATAGTTGAAAACAATCTCATTAAAGTACAACTAACTTTTCTTCTACATTCAAACCAATAAATATTGAGTATCCAATATGCTTGTCCCTGGGAACACAATACTCAGGATAGACTTGGCTACCTTCATGGAGCTTCCTGTCTGGCATGGAAGGTCTTGAAAGACAGGAGTCTTTAGGTATTAAAGCCTTTGGGAAACTGAAAGAAATCTAGCCCTGTGAACAAGAACAACAAACAATCTGCACTTTCATGCTGTCTGCTTTTAACACCACCTTTCTTGCTATAATTCATGTTTCTAGGGCACAGATAGAATTTTAGAACTAGAAGGAACCACAGAACTTATTTGATTCTATTAATAATGTTGCAACTTGGGAAACTGAGGCTCAGGGATAGGCTTAGGATTTCCCCAAGGTTGCACAGCTAATTAGTCATTTCTATACAATACAGTGTGCAAAGGAAATAAGTCTGTTCTGAAGGCCAGTCATGATCACAACTTTTTACAGAGGCCCAAAGGACTAACAGCATTTTTTCTTCCCGTTCTGAAATAATTAAGTTCAAAGTAAAAGGATATCTGATATTCTTCTGGCTCTGCCAGCAAACCTTCTCAATCCTGACCCCCTACGCTAGGTTGGGTTTCATTGCTATGGGCTTCTGTAGTATCCCAAACATCCCTTTATAACACATGCCATGCTTCTAATTCTTGATTAACAGCTGTGTCTGTAGCAAGATGAATTGAAGGCAGCACAGTGGGTGCAGGGAGACCAAACAGATTAGTCCAGGTGTCAATGATGGTGATGGAGAGAAGTAGATGAATTATAGAGTTTTTCTAAGTAGAATACATAAGACCTAGCAATTGATTTATGAAATGGTAGAGGGTAGAACCAGGTTTCTGGTTTGAGTACCTGGTAGACGGTGGTGTTTGAGATAGACTGTTGATTTGGTGGGATGAGGGAGTGTATCATAAGATGAAGGTACATAAATTTGTTGGGCAACTGCTATTTGAACCAAAAGCTAAATTTCACTAGCACCTATTCAGATATTACAAATAAGTTTGTGCTGAGTTATCAGCTGATGTCTCAAAGAATATCTACTTGATTAAGTATAGTTTTGTTTATAGTTTGCATATCTTTTCAGTTATAAGTTTCTCTTAACGAATGAAATAAAAGTGGGAAATATGATGGAAATGGGGATAACTGTATAGTACTGAATGCTAGCTGTTTGATTTTATTACTTAAAATTGAAAGAGAAGGAAGAAAACACTAACTTAAGACCACAGTTTCTAAGGGGAAGCTAAGAAGAGGAGACATCTGCGGGTCATCTGAATGAGAAATGTGTCTAGGTAATGGTTTTCAGTAAAAGTAAACTTTGAAGTTTCCTGACATTTGTATTAAACAGTTGTCAACAGCTTTCTAATAGGAATAACCAAGGCATACATTTATATTATCATTTCAAAAAACATTCAGGAGACAAATCACATTCTGAGCTCCACGCGGGCAAGGGTATCTCCTTCCATTATCTCCTAATAACCAGAATCTACAAAGTACCTAAAACATGGTAACATGCTTGTTAAGTTGAAGCTGCTCATGCAGTTTTCTCATCCTTAGTAGCTTTATTTTAAAATCATGAGTAAAAAAGAGCCTCAACCCATTTCTCTCAAGCTAAGGATCTAAAATAAGGCTTTGAAATGAGGATCTCCAGCTGATCCTCACGATGATACCTGCATTAAGGAATAAAAAACCCCAATGTATTATTCTGAATTCTCTAAATAGCCATCTCTAATAGGAAAAAGCTGGAGAAAATTAAAAACAAAGTGATAAACTGATGGCGGTTCCCAGTCTCAAGAAGACCGGGTCAAAGAGTTCAAATTGACTCGAAGCAAACGTAAACCCTCTGGCACCCAGACCACTGCGTCCTAACCCTAGGACCGGAGCATTCCCTTCGGATAGAGTTACTAGCTCTGGGGAGGGTAAAACTACCCCCAAGTAGCGCCTCACAGCCCGGGGCTCTGACACCCGCCCTGGGCCCCACACCCTCATCTCCACCCCGGGCGCGTCCGACGCCTCCCTTTGCCCTCAACCCCGCATTTCCCATTCCCAGTTGCCACGGCTGCCCACAGCCCAGCCACCCCCAACCTCGAGCTCGATTACCGCTCCTCCAGAGTCAGTCGTCGCGCGCTCCGCCTCGCACCTCACCCCAGCGGCCGCCACCTCTCACCACGCACACCACGACTCTCAGCCCAGCTGGCGGCGCTTCAGCCTCCACCTCCCCGCCCCAGCAGCCCGCCCTCACCAATCAACACCCCGCTTGCAGTCCGACCAATCGCCTTCCCCTGCCACAACCAATCCTTCTGCGAGCTGCTCCTGAGCGACGTAGCTGCTGCTAGCTAATGCCCAATTACCCGGATGGAATCGTAGGCCGGCCCACCCTGGCGGCCAATGAGGGCCAGAAAAGCAGATGTTGCTAATTGAGATTGCACCTGCTGAGAATTAAACAGCCAATTAGAAGCTTCACGGAGTCCTCTCAGCCCACCTCTAGGCCAATTACCGAGAAGGCTTCCGTCCCCTAAGCCTTGGGGGGAAATCAGCGCGCCGGAGGCTGGGACCAAGGAGTGAGGGGGTTCAATCACGCATGGGTGTCATGGTCGCATATTGGTGTCTTTGTACAAAGCCAGTGCCACTCCACAACCCAGTGACCATTGGCAAAGCGGCCTCATAATGGGCAACTTGCGCTCCATCATTGTTTCTCTTGCGATCTTTTGCATCCGTCGGTTCCCCATATAGCGACAGGCTCAAGAGGCATGGAAAACTTTTTTTTTTTTTTTTTTTTAACATGAAATAGACTTCGTAGATGGAGAGGTCAAGGGGAAGGCATTGCGCCGCAGAGAGCGAGGACCCACTCTTCTGTTCCTCTGCCGCGGCGTGAAAACATGGTGCGGACCGAAACGGCAGCGGGAGAGCAGGAGACGAGACCGAGTTCCGACCGCAGGGGTAAGGGAGCTGCGGGCAGCGGAGGCGCCAGGGGCCCGCCCCTCCCTGGGGATCGAGGGCCACAGGTCGCGGCCGCAGGCCCGAAGACTCCAGCCCAGGGGCCGTTTCTGTGCGGACTAGCGGTTTGCATTGGAAAATTGGATTCCAGCCGCGGTCCGGGTCCCTGGACCGTTAAGAACGGTTGGGTCCTGCCGCCGCCTCTGCGCCGCGGGGCCTCACGAGCCCAGCTCGGCGCCCTACCTGGTCCACGCTGTTCCCCGCCCCGCACTCGCCCTCGGGGCAAGGGGCCGGCACTCCTAGTCTTTGGGAGATCTGCCGCTAATAGCACTGTAGCTAATAGCACAATGCCTGGCACGTGATGAGCACGCAAACGTTTGTTGAATGAACGCAAGATTGCATCTTTGGTCAATTAGGGACACGTCTTTGGGCCTCGGTTTTTTGTTTTATATTAATTTAAAAATGTGTTTTGAATAAGTGATACATGCACGTTCTGCAAAATTCAAAAGAAACAAAGTGATGACACTGAATAATCTTCAGTGCAGCGAGTGTTATAAGTTTCTTGTGAATTTTTTGTAAAGTTAACGTATATGCGTAAATAATGACCCAGTTGTTAGCATACATACTATTTTGCAACTGACTTTTATATAGTCTAGGAATCTTTCCATAGCTGCACCTATCTCACTCATACTAACAGTTTCATAGGATGCCTGAGGGATATATTAACATATATTGGCCGGGCGTGGTGGCTCACGCCTATAATCCTAGCACTCTGGGAGGCCGAGGCGGGCGGACTGCTCAAGGTCAGGAGTTCGAAACCAGCCTGAGCAAGAGCGAGACCCCGTCTCTACTATAAATAGAAAGAAATTAATTGGCCAACTAATATATATAGAAAAAATTAGCCGGGCATGGTGGTGCATGCCTGTAGTCCCAGCTACTTGGGAGGCTGAGGCAGGAGGATTGCTTGAGCCCAGGAGTTTGAGGTTGCTGTGAGCTAGGCTGACGCCGTGGCACTCTAGCCCAGGGCAACAGAGTGAGACTGTCTCAAAAAATAAAAATAAAAAAAAATAGGCCGGGGCGCGGTGGCTCCCGCCTGTAATCCTAGCACTCTGGGAGGCCGAGGCGGGCGGACTGCTCAAGGTCAGGAGTTCGAAACCAGCCTGAGCAAGAGCGAGACCCCGTCTCTACTATAAATAGAAAGAAATTAATTGGCCAACTAATATATATAGAAAAAATTAGCCGGGCATGGTGGTGCATGCCTGTAGTCCCAGCTACTCGGGAGGCTGAGGCAGGAGGATTGCTTGAGCCCAGGAGTTTGAGGTTGCTGTGAGCTAGGCTGACGCCATGGCACTCACTCTAGCCTGGGCAACAAAACGAGACTCTGTCTCAAAAAAAAAAAAAAAAAAAAAAAATAAAAAAATAAAATAAAATAAATATATATATTGAATTAGTTCTTTAACATATCGATATGCAGGCATACTTCATTTCACTCTTGTATATCTGTATAATAAATATTTAGGAATACAAATATGAGGTCAAAGAAGTGTGTGCACTGTATTTTTCATTTGTATATATAAAATTTTTCAAATTCCCTTCCTTTCACAAAGATTGTTCTAATTTTCATTCCACCAGCAATCTTTGAAAAGGGTTTTGGTAATTGCCTCCCACAGAAGTTGTAAACAATTTTCTCTCCCATCAGCAATGTGGGACTAGGACCTGTTTATGCCTGGGCGAGGTGGCTCACGCCTGTAATCCTAGTACTCTGGGAGGCTGAGGCAGGAGGATTGCTTGAGTTCTCTGGAGTTGGAGACCAGCCTGTGCAAGAGCAAGAACCTATCTCTACTAAAAATAGAAAAAATTAGCCGGGCACCCGTAGTGTGGGCCTGTAGTCCCAGCTACTGGGGAGGCTGAGGCAGGATTGCTTGAGCCCAGGAGTTGGAGGTTACTGTGAACTAGGTTGACACCACGGCACTCTACTCAGGGCAATAGAATGAGACATTTGATAGCACAATGTGTTATCAAACTTCTCAATTTTTGACAATCTCATAGTGCAAATGATATCTCACTGCAATTTAGATTTTTCACTTTTCTTATAAGTTGAGCATCTTTTAATATGTTTAAGTGGCAAATTTTTTGTACATCATCTGCTTATATACTTTGTTCATATTTTTGTTGCTTATTTTTTCTTAACATTTGCTCTTTGTATATAAGTTAAAAATGTTTTCTCTTTTCCCAGTTTGCTCTATGTCTTTTTACTTTATGGTGATTCTTTGCAAATTTCAATTTTTATGTAGTTGAAGTTATGAACATTTCCTTTGATAACTTTTGGGTTTCATATCATATTAGAAAAGTCTCTCAGTACTTAAAATTGGTTTTAAAACTACTATGTTTTCTTCAAATACTTTTGTAGTGTCTTTTTGTACATGTTTGATCCATCTGGAATTTTAGAGTATCAGGTAGAGATCCACCTTGTTTGTGTGTTTGAGACAGGGTCCTACTCTGTAATCTGAACTATAGTTCAGTGGTGTCATCGTAACTCACTGCAAACTCAAGCTACTGGGCTCAAATGATTCTCCTGCCTCAGCCTCCCAAGTAGCTGAGATTACAGGTGTCTCCACCACGCCTGGCTAATTTCTCTGTTTTTTGTAGAGTCTCACTCTTACTCAGGCTGGTATCAAAGTCCTGGTCTCAAGCGATCCTCTCTAAGTGCTAGGATTATAGACGTGAGCCACCGCACCCAGTCTTTGTTTTGTTTTATCCAACCCTTCTTATTGAATAACCTGTATTTTCTCCTTTGTTTTTATTTATTATATCCACATTGTTTTGTTTTCTTTATAATGCCCAAATTGCCACATGTATTTGAGTCTATTTCTAGATTTTTTTCATTTTGTTCCATTGCTCTACTTATGTTCTAGCACCATATTGTTTTTTAAATTACTGTGCATAATGTGTTTTTACCACAATTTAAAAAATGAATGTACCATATACATGCAGAAAATTCACAAATAAGTGTATCTCTTTGAGTTTTCAAAAATGGAATACATGAGTGTGACCAGCAGCAGATCAAGAAACAACATTACCAGTGCCCCAGAAGCCACCCTGTGTCCCCTCAGTCACTACTCTCCTCAAGGATAACCACTCTTTTGACTCCTAATGCCATAAACTAGTTTTGCCTATGTTTGTTTTTTTATATAAAGAGAATCACAGAGTGTGTACTGTTTTGTGTCTGGTTTCTTTCGAATTATTTCTGTGAGATTCACCCATGTTGCAGTATATGTATAGTTTTAGTCCATTCCTTCTTGTTACTGTGTAGTATTATATTGTGAGACTATACCATAATTTACTTTTCTATTCTATTGTTAATGTTATTTTGATTGGAATCATATATTTTTAGATTATGTAAAGAATTGGGCTGGGTGTGGTGGCTCATGCCTGTAATCCTAGCTCTCTGGGAGGCCAAGACAGGAGAATCGCTCAAGGTTAGGAGTTCGACACCAGCCTGAGCAAGAGTGAGACCCCCGTCTCTACTAAAAATAGAAAGAAATTAATTGGCCAACTAAAAATATATAGAAAAAATTAGCTGGGCATGGTGGCGCATGCCTGTAGTCCCAGCTACTCAGGAGACTGAGGCAGAAGGATCACTTGAGCCCAGGATGTGAGGTTGCTGTGAGCTAGGCTGATGCCACGGCACTCACTCTAGCCTGGGCAACAGAGTGAGACAGTCTCAAAAAAAAAAAAAATAAAAAGAATCTTCAATTGATGTCCTATCAGTAGCATTTTTTAAGTTTTCATCATATAGAATTTACACATTTCTTGTTAAGAGTATTCGTAGGTATTTGAGCGCCTTCATTGCTATAGTTATTTTTACTTTTAAAAAAGTAAAAGAAAAACTGAATAAAATACAAAATAAATAAATAAAAATAAAAAGGTAAAAGATGGCCAGGTGCTGTGGCTCACACCTGTAATCTAGCGCTTTGGGGTGTTGAAGCAGTAGGACCACTTGAGGCCAGCCTGGGCGATATCGAGACCTTGTTGCTATGAAAAATAAAAAATATTAGCTTGGCTACTTAGGCGGCTGGGCTGGGAAGATCACTTGAGCCCATGAGTTGAAGGCTGCAGTGAGCTATGATGACACAACTGCACTCTAGCCCCAGCATCAGAGCAAGACCCTGTCTCAAAAAAAAAAAAAAGAGTAGTCAAATCCAAGGAAGAAGGTCCAATGTTGCTATAAAAAGCATAGACCTACTTCTTCATAGGCCTGTCATCTTCCCACTGGGGTTCAGCATGGGCAAAAAAAAAAAAAAGGGCATATAAGTCCAAAAAGAAGAGTTAAAAATTAAGTAACAGGAGGAATTTCTTAATCAGAGTAGTGAAAAATGCAGGTGGAATCACTTTTCCTGGAAATTTTTAAAAAGGTTGACTTCTAACTGGCTGGGTATGGAAGTTGGGGAATAGAAGGAATAACTTTACGTGAGCTGATTCCAAATTCACTCCAAAGTCACCGTGCATTTGGTATTTGTCATCTCATTTCCCCTCTCAGAGCTCAAATCAGGATTGAAAGGTTGAGTTGTGGGATGCTGGGATTGACACAAATGTAATTTCTTTATTCTCATCTTCAGTTTCTAAGAGTGTATTTTCTTTTGTTGGAGGGTGTTCTGAACAGGCTGTAGGAGGTAGTAGATGAAATGAGTTAACATAAGGTCTGGGTTGCCAGAGTTCAGAGTTCGGTGGGCAGGTGTTTCCATTCAATAAGCTGAAGCAGGAAAGTAGAGTTTGGCTAGAGGTCTGGGCGGTGAGGGGTTCTCAAACACAGGTAGCCTGGCTCCAGAGTCTTTTTTTTATTTTATTTTATTTTATTTTTACTGCACAGTATGCTCCAGAGTCTTGACTGCTTACAGAGTTCCCTTCCTGCACAACATGAGGATGATCCATTCAAACAATATTCAGCAGTCTGAGTCCCTGAAAAACAGCACTCCTCTCTCCTTTTTCCCATTGTAATATTCACTGCTTCCTCCCCCATTAATCAAGCCTTCTTCACCAGAAACGAAGACCGAGAGCCTGAGCCTTAGTATAATTTATGCTGGTGTTACTCATTCAGTCTTTAGGTCAAGATCGATGAATTGTGGCAGGTGTCTTAGGAGAGAGATTCTCCTAAGCCTCCCCTGGCACTACCACCCAGTTCTGTTTTCCTACTTAATTCCCCTTACAAAGCAGTTGGGAGGAACAGGACCCAGAAGTCCCTGGTCTCAGATACTCTCCAGACTGAGTCACCACCATACTTACTTCTTAGAGAGACCCACCCAAAGTCTCCTGCTTCTCCCTGAGAGATGGGTGCTGTTGGGAGTAAGGGGCTGAGGAGGAGGGAATGCTAGAGGCAAGAGCATGTTTTCCTGCAGGACCCATCATGCCACCTGCTCTTACTTGTGCTGATGTCTGCTTCACACTGTAGACTTTCTAGCCTTTTCTCCTTACCTCTAATGCCGCCCCACCCCAACCTGGGGCTTCTCACAGCAGAGGTTTTTAACCTGCATTCCATGGAGTCTGTCATGGCTTGAGAATGACTGGATAATGTGTAAAGACTTGGCTGGGCGCGGTGCCTCACGCCTGTAATCCTAGCACTCTGGGAGGCCGAGGCGGGCGGATTGCTCGAGGTCAGGAGTTCAAAACCAGCCTGAGCAAGAGCGAGACCCCCGTCTGTACTATAAATAGAAAGAAATTAGTTGGCCAATTAACATATATAGAAAAAATTAGCCGGGCATGGTGGCGCATGCCTATAGTCCCAGCTACTCTGGAGGCTGAGACAGAAGGATTACTTGAGCCCAGGAGTTTGAGGTTGCTGTGAGCTAGGCTGACGCCATGACACTCACTCTAGCCTGGGCAACAAAGCAAGACTCTGTCTCAAAAAAAAAAAAAAAAAAAAAAAAAGACTTGTTGATAGCTTTCACCAGGTATGCTCAGAGGGTTGTGACTCCAACAAAGCTAAGGATCATAGCCTTGCAAGGCTCTCAAGAAATCAGGGATCCAGGACAGCCAAGAAGAAAGAATGTAACGGGAACCAAAATTCAGAGTGTTAAAACAGCACCATAGTATCTTTGGGTCCATATTCCCTCAGGTTAGGTGAGACCATGTCTGAAATGGAAGAGAGGAGCAGTGGGAGGAGGGCAGGATGGGATGACCCTCAGCAAGGTTCTATCAGGCAGGGGCAGGCAGGAGGTGGGCAGAGTCAAACTCCCCTCAAATCTGAAACAGCTCACAGATTGTTGTGCCTGAGCAGCCTCTCTCTATAACCTAAGAGCTTGCTAAAGTTAGCACCCAGAAAGGAACCAGGAAGTCTGAAGCCTCCATTTTGTTTTTATTTATTTATTTTTACCTTAATATCAAGAATCAGTCCACTGAAGCCTCCATTTTTATTTAATTTTGAGAGGCTCCTTTTGCTGGAAGCCAGGTATTTTACTTCAGTCTATCTGATTCCTGGAATTTCTATTCTTTTCTACTGGTTCTGAGGCAGATGCAGTAAAAACACTGGGGGAGGAGACTGAGAAGAAAGAGTAAAAACAAACAAAAAAATTCCCACTTCCTGAATCAAGTACATTAGAGGTGTGGCAGAAAGGTGAGGATCAGCAACTGACCTCAGTGCCCCCTGAAAGTTCAGAGTGGGTGGGTGGAAGATCTCACCTTTTCTACAGGTCATGTCCAGCAACTGAAAGGCCCTGGGAGATGGGGTTATAAGAGTGTGACAGTGAGTGTGACAGTGTGTGGTGTAAAATGTATGAGTTCTGAGTCAGACAGCTCTGAGTTCAAATGCAGTTCCCTTGCTCACCTCGCTGTGTTCTCAAGCAACTTAATCTGTCTGACCTTTAGTTCCATCAGCTAAAATGCCTGCCTGCCGTATAGGGTTGGTGTGAGGATTAAATAAGAAAACATGTATAAAGCCACCGACATAAATGTTGTTTTCTTCTTTTCATATTACTGTCTCATAATATCCCCGCACATGCACGTGGCCACAAAACTCAGGCACACTCACTGCCTGCTCACGCCCCAGTTACATTTGCACACGCTTGGGTACACACACACTCCAGCCGGTACAGTCACAACTGAGCTGAGGGCAGCCTCCTCGGACAAGCTATGGAAGTGCCCAACACAGTCGCCTTCTTACAGTAACTGGCTCACCTCTCAAAGGTGTGAACTAAAATAAAATTTTAAGGCTCACGCCCTACCAGCTGACTGAATGGACTCCCTCACGGCCAAAGGATTATCCTAAAACTAAATTCTCTACCAGGAGGATGGAGGTCAGACATGCCTCATCATGCCTCCTCCCTTCTTGGGGACATCCTTTGTAACTTATCTCTGATATTATCTCTGATAATAGCTCCTTATGTTGAAACATTTTTTTACTTCAAAATAAGATATGTGTGCAGTGTGCATAGGAATTTGTTCACAGTTTTTTT